AAAAAACAGAAAAAGAAAAGAAACAAGAAAAAGAAGAAGAAAGAAAAAAAAAAAATTAGAAAAAGAAAAAAAATATATCTAAAGAATATCTTAAACTTTAAATATAAATTATTCAAAAGCTAAATAATATTTTTATATCATACTTGTATTGTATAAAATTTATCCATCTTTTCCATACCAAAAGGTACTTCTCTTGCGATTGATCTTTCAAGAAAGCCGAAATCTTTGCCATTTCCGCTAAATAAGAAACTTTAAGAAACCATTCTTGCAAAGTAGGCAAAGATTCCTTCTTCCAACATTGCCCTACTTTAACAACCTAGCCGCTGTAATTAGATTTAACATTAATATAGTTTCTTTACTATCACAATCGGAAACAATACCCAACAAAAACAATTGTGGAGTAAATTTTATCCTTCTTTTAAAAATTCTTTGAATATTCCACCATATCTTAATCCAAAAAGCTTTTATGTTTTTGCATAACCACCAAATATGATAATATGTGGCGTCCAAGCAACCACATCTCCAACATTTAGGCTGCAAGTTTGAATACATACGAGACATTTTTTGTGGATCAAGGTGCCATCTGTAAAACATTTTATAAAAGTTTTCCCGTAAATTTTGGGCTTGTGTAAATTTGACATTCCTCACCCAAATAATCTCCCAAGTATCTAATGGAACCAATTCATCAAAATTTTGTGCCCATTTAACCATACAATCTTTAACTAGTTCTGCTTCTGAATCCAATTCCACTAAGACCCCATAAATTCTTTTAATATGGGTTCGTCTTTGATCTTTTATTTGTTTTAACAAATTCTCATCCTCTCTGAGCAAACCCACCTTGCAATCTATCTTCCACCTTTCCAATAATTGTCTATACTGAAACCATGAATAAGTGATGTTTTCTTGTATTAAATCTTCCATAGATTTTAATTGCCAATTTTTACCATCCCATTTAAGTAATTGTGTATAAGAGATACTATCCATCTTAACTCCTCTCCTTATCCCTTCTATCGCATGCCATGGGATAGCCCATAATGGAATTCTAGAGTCACTTCCATAATATTTCTTCCAAACCCAAAGTAAGGAAGTTCTTAAAATATGAGACTTAAAAACCCTATCAACCTTTTTATTAAAAATTAAATAGGCATGCCATCCAAAAAGTAAATCCCATCCCTCCAAAAGGAGTACACCTACATTAGTTAAATTAACCCAATCACTAATTAATGTTAACACCACAGCATCATAATACAATTTCAGGTTCGGTAACTTGAGTCCACCTCTCTCACGAATATCTTGTGTAATTTTAAGTTTTACTCTTGATTTTTTGCCTGCCCAGATAAATTTATTGATACCTTTCTGCCATTCATTTAAGTTGACCTCATTCTTTAAAATAGGCATCATTTGAAATAAAAAGAGAAACTTTGGCAAAATATTCATTTTAATCACTGCAATTCTCCCCAGTAGGGATAATTGCAGCTTCTTCCAATTTTCCAAATCCTTTTGTATTTTAACCCACAGCCTTTCATAATTATTTTTATACAATTTTGCATTGGAGGCAGATAAAATAACCCCCAAATATTTTACCTTATTAACAACCTCAAAATCTGTCAACCTAACTAAAGTCTCCTTATCCAAATTGGTCATGTTTTTAGGCAATATTTTAGTCTTATTATTATTAATTTTAAAACCCGAAACTTGTCCATACTGATATATCAATTGTAGCAACTCCATTACAGAATGAGTTGGTTGGGATAAAGTAACAACCAAATGTCTGCAAAAGCCCTTAATTTATATTCTTTTTTATTAACTTCTATTCCTTTTATTTTCTGTGATTCCCGAATTTTGATCAACAAAATTTCCAAAGTTAAAACAAACAGCAATGGTGACAATGGACAACCCTGTCTAGTCCCCTTCTCAATTGAAAACACCTCTGACAAACCTCCATTAACTATAAGTTGTGCCGTTTGTTTTTGATAAATAACACGAAGAGCTTGTAAAAAATTTTCTCCAAAATTCATTTCCTCAATTAATCTTAACATAAATTGCCAATTTAATTGATCAAAGGCTTTTTCAGCATCTAAAAATATCAATCTTGCAGAAACTTGGTTGTTTTTATCCAAGTATTCTATTAAATTAATAATTTGTCTAACATTATTCTTCATATACCTTCCAGTTATAAAACCCGTTTGATCCTTATGTATTAATTGATTTAACACCCTCATAAGTCTATTAGCTAGAATTTTCGAAAAAATCTTATAATCTACATTCAAAAGAGATATGGGTCTATAATTCTTTGGTAAAGTGAGATCTTGATCTTCTTTTGGAATCAAAGATATGAAAGCTCTGCCCCATGACATGGGAGTCTCTGAACCCTGTAATATATTGTTAAAAAGTTCCCTTGAAGGTTGTTTCAACTCTTCTACCAAGGTTTTGTAATAAATAGACGTCAATCCATCCGTACCCGGTGCTTTACCTAATTTTAATTCTTTAATTACTATCTCAATTTCCTCGATGGTAATCAAACCATTAATTTCTTGTCCAGGAAAATATTATTATTACATGATGAAGGAAGGGCTCTTATCTCCACCATGAAAATTATCCAAACTTACACCAGAATATGAACTGGGCCATTTGTAGCAAGGTTAATTTTGTGATGTCTTTCTCCATTTTTAGCAAGGAGAGTGAGTTTTATTTATTTGGCGTGCACTTCTACTTAAGCACAGCAGAAGCAAAGAAATAATACTAACCAAAATTCTATAAAAACAGATATAGAATTCTATATACTACACAGTGGAACATTAATACAATTCCTTCAAAGTTACAACTTATTATAAGTTATAGTACTAAAAAAACATGAGTGCAGAGAACATCGTTCCAACTTTATTCATCTAAATTCTTAAAATAGGAGAGTTCAAATATATTGAGAAGCAACTCTCCTGAAGTACTAAAATAGAGAAAGTTAACAAAGTTGTACTATTCACATACGGTTCAGCATGGGTTCATTCTCCTTAAACAGAGATTAGTATCATGGTTTAGATGCTAATGATACATTTATAGAAGATGACATACATTTATAGACGACATTTGCCAAAATTACATTTACAATTTCTGCATTGAAAGCAAACTTTAAATGCACAGCTAAAAGCATATGAATGTACTTTCCAAAAGGATGGAGGTTGGCTATAAATTAAAATATTTTTAAAATACTTGCCACAAAAGATCTATTAGGAAACACTTATATAATTTTTCTAGGATTTCCCCCATATTTTGATTGTATCTGTGTGAAACAAATCCTTTTATTTTGGGCCAGAACACATAAGAGAGAGAAAACAAATTCTGCAGGTATGTTACAAAGGTTAATTCAGTTTGGGTAAAAGGAAGAAGGAAATGCTAGTCTCTTGTTAAGATAAAATAGATGTATCTATTTTCAGTGGCTTTGCTCTAGGGACATTAGAGTTACACTACTATTACTACTATTTATATCACTACTTATTACACTGCAAACTTTATCAGAAACTCGAGTCTAGATTTATTATTTACACTCTTGCTAATCAAATTAATCAATCCAGTTCAGAAGAAAAAAAAAACTATTTTTTGTTCTCTGAAGACAAACAGCTAACAAAACAAGTTGCATTGTATGCAATGGCTGCAAGGAAGATATGAAAGCAACCCTGATAATGGTGTTAATAATATAATACAATACAATACAATATATTAATATAATATAATAATAAAGTACTGTTAATATTAGAGGGGATGTATTGAACTGATGTGATCACTGTAATTTTTACATGTATTTTACTAAAACCTATGGTTACAAATAGTTAGCCGTAGCAGTGTTAATCTAAACCATGGTTTATTCAATCAGCCACATTTTTGAAGGGTTCACACAACACAGTGAATTCTAAACTCATGAGTTAAGATGGATTTGGAGGGATGCTTGACTATAATACATTTAACTGGTTTATAATCAAGTACCCAGTGTTGCACAAACACAGTCTTATTTGGATAACAAAAGCAGGATTTTTTTCAGTGATACTAAGGCTTACACCATTATTAACCAAACTTATTCACACTGTATACTCAACACACTAGTTGCAATGGAATTATAGTCAATAGGTGGTCAGCTTGTATCTGAAAGCAGTGCAATCCATTTGTAGATGAGAATTAGTATGATTTACAATAATGATTATTTGTGCAAAATAATTTTTGACATCTAAGAAGTTAGATGTCAAAGGAAAAGATCCTGGCCTTGCTTTCAACAGCATTATTTTCTACACAGAAATGGTATTTTTAAAAAAATGCAGAAGACCTGCATTATTTATCTGAAACCGTGCAAATCAAACAACATAGCTCTTTTCCAGATGGTATCTAGAAGCGTTTCACAGAAAGTCAAGCCATAATATTGTTTTTGCCCTGCGGCCGTCTTTCCTAAATCACAGCTGCACAGCTAAGGGGCAGCACTGAGCCGATCCTGGCTAATTTTGAAAAGCGAAATAGGATTGGACCGAGTGGGTTCTCAGATAAGATTAAGACAAGGGGGCCGGGGAAATTAAAAAAAAAAAAAAAAAAAAAGCAAGGACAACTGTGGCATGAGATTGTCATATTATCTCGGCCAACTTGCACCTATGTTTGGTAGGCACCTATGTTTGATAGGAGAGAGCCATGTTAGCATAACTGGAAAAAGGTGCTACCGAATCCCCCCCGATTGTGGTTACTTCTTATGCGTTTTGGGATCTCTCAGATGCCCGTCGGATTTCTCGGGATGTCGCCGTTTCTGCCCTGTAAGCGCCCACCAGACTCTCTCCTTCCAAAGGCCAAGTATAATATAATAACCCGAAAGGGGGGAAGGGCGATCAAAACTTCTTTCCTCAACCCGAGAGCTGAATCCAGCCGCCCAGAGTCACTTGATTAACTCGGGGGCTGTGTAAAAAAAAAAAAAATCGAATCAATTTCTACCTGCCCGGCAGCTAATTAAACCGCACGAAGTGGGAACTCACCTGTCTTACGCTGAGTTCAGTCTGGAGATAAGACGAGGTGCTTACATCTCCCTAAGCAACTTGTTGCGCGCTGCTGCTAACTCTGAGCTAAAGGGGGTGGGGGGGGGAGGAAGCTTACATAGAGCCCAGGCTGGCGATCGACGGAAGCGGCAGCCGCTCAGAGAAGACTCAGAGGCGCTCTGCAGGGCTCCCCAGGGAATCACCGCCGCCTCTCCTCTCTCCCTCCCTCTCCCTCTCTTTCCCGCTTGCAGCCAGAGGAGAACGCGCCGCTTGCCTCCCTCCCGCGTGACCGGCCACTCCCCAGGGCGGCGGTGGGAGAGGTTCGGTGGGTAGGACTTGAAGGAAGGTAGGCCAGAAAAGGAAATACTAAAAAGGGCAGGAAAATATATTTTTCACCAAAAGGATTTTTAAAAGTATTTTTTGAAAAGCAGAAACCAAACCTGGCCCCAAATCTATCTCTGTGCCCCAAGCAAGAGCTAGCCCAGTGGTTCTCAACCTTCCTAATGCCGAGACCCTTTAATACAGTTCCTCATGTTGTGGTGACCCCCAACCCCCCCATCCAGCTGTCAGGGGGGGGGGTATCAAAAACTTGACCAAAAAAAAGAGGAAAAAATGGGAAAGTATAGGTAGTCCTCGACTTACAACAATTCATTTAGTGACTGTTAGAAGTTACAACAGCACTGAAAAAGCAAATTATGATCATTTTTCACACTTATGATTGTTGCAGCATCCCCAGGGTCATATGATTTACATTTGGATGCTTGACAACTGATTCATACTTATGACATTCACAGTGTCCCAGGGTCACGTGATCAATGGCCAGGGGGTGTGGCCAGCTGATCACTCAGGTTGCAGAGTGCCTGTGGGGGGGAATCTGTGGGTCTCTGGGATGGGACTGGGGTGGGTGCCTGCCTTCCTTCCCTCCCCTTGTCCCTTCCTTTTCTTCCTTTCCTTCACCTCCCTTAGTCTCTTCCTCCTTCCCTCCCTCTCTCCCATTGTCCCTTCCTTCTTTCCTTCACCTTCTTCTTAGTCTCTTCCTCCTTCCCACCCTCTCCCATTGTCCCTTCCTTCCTTCTTTCCTTCCTTTCCTTCCCCTCCCTTAGTCTCTTCCTGCTTCCCTCCCTCTCTCCCATTGTCCCTTCCTTCCTTCCTTCTTTCCTTCACCTCCTTCTTAATCTCTTCTTCCTTCCCTCCCTCTCCCATTGTCCCTTCCTTACTTCTTTCCTTCCTTTCCTTCCCCTCCCTTAGTCTCTTCCTCCTTCCCTGCTTCTCTCCCATTGTCCCTTCCTTCCTTCTTTCTTTCCTTTCCTTCACCTCCTTCTTAGTCTCTTCCTCCTTCCCTCCCTCTCTTCCCTTGTCCCTCCTTCCTTCCTTCCTTCCTTCCTTCCTTCCTTCCCTCTTTGTCCCTTCCTTCCTTCCCTCCCTTCCATTGTTCCTTCCTTCCTTCCCTCTCATTGTTCCTTACTTCCCTCCCTCTTTGTCCCTTCCTTCCTCCCCCCCCTCCGTGCCCAGGAAGGGACAAGGGGAGGGGGATAGGCTTCCAGCGTGGCTGGGGGCTTTGCTGCCGGCAAACCTGCCTGTGCACAGGCAGAGACAGAGGAGAACTCTGCCCAGCTCACTTGCTCAGCTTCGCCAAAAGACATGCTGCTTGCTAAGTTAGCAGAAGCTCCAGGATCAGCGCTGGGCTACAACTGATTCGCGCTTCTGCTAAATTAGTAAGCAGCATGTTTTCTAGCAAAGCTCAAACAAGTTTGCTGGGCAGGAGCCAAGGAGAGCAGCTACAGCTGCAGAAGCGCAGATCAGCTGTAGAGGCTTGCCCCGATCCTGGACAAGAGGGAAGGAAAGAAGGACGGAAGGGACAAGGGGAAAAAAGGAGGGAAGGAGGGACAAAGAGGGAGGGGAAAGGAAGGAAGGAAGGAAAGAAGGGACAAAAGGGAGAGGGAGGAAAGGAGGGACAAAGAGGGAGGCGAAGGAAAGGAAGGAAGGAAGGAAGGAAGGAAGGAAGGAAGGAAGGAAGGAAGGAAGGAAGGAAGGAAGGGACAATGAGAGAGGGAGAGAAGGAGGAAGAGACCAAGAGGGAGGGAAGGAAAGTAACTTCCAGCCAGCAGAGGCTTGGCAGCCCGGCTGGCGAGGAACAGAAGAGCGCAAAGCCAAGGAGAAGAAGGTGGCAGTTTCCTCCCAAAGGGGGCTCCTTTTCTCCACCCCTTCCCTGGGTGCTGACAGGTGCTCTTCGAGTCCGCCACAAGCTTTCTCGCCCCCTTTGCTTCTCCCCCCTGCTTTTGTGAGGATTGTGGCGCCCTTGGGAAGCCGATCATGCTTTGAAGCTTAGGAGAAGAGGAGTCCCTTCCTCCTTCCCTCCCTCTCTCCCTGTCAAGCCCCAGCGGGCTCAACATGAACAGGCGGAGGAGGAGACGAGGACGGGCGGGGTGGCAAAGGAGACCGGCGGACATCGCCAGACCTCCCGGCTGACAAGCGCAAGTTCGGGGGTTGCCAACTGACGGGTGCAGGAGTTGGGTGCTGCGGCAGCCTCCCCTTCACTGACCTGCATACATGAGAAGAAGTCAATCCGGTTGCTGCACAATGAGTCTCTGGGGAGGGTGGGGCCTTGCTCTGCGGCTGTGCTCTTCATGCACCCCTTGCAGGGCACATTTGGTAGAGTTCATGCAGACTGCCGCTGAGCAGCATATTTTCCACAAACAAGTGAGGTGGAGCAGAGGGGGGGAGGGAGAGAAGGCGGTTGACAAGCCCTGCCTAAGACCATCGGAAATATGTTTTTTCCGATGGTCTTAGGCGACCCCTGTGAAAGGCTCGTGTGATCCCCAAAAGGGTTGCGACCCACAGGTTGAGAACCACTGAGCTAGCCCCATACAAATGCAGATGTAAAACCATCAGAAAGTTGAAGCCAGAGCACTCAACAAGACAAAGAAAATCTGCATGTCCCACCCAAACTCTAGGAGCCCCATCACCTGGGAAGGAGGATATGATAATAGGATTAAACCACAGATATCAAGGCCTAGAAAAGCACTCAGAAATAGCCTCAAGGTTCATGCCACAGGAACAGGAAACTATAGCCTTTCCAAACAAATAGCCTTTCCAAACAAAAGGCTAGAGGGGGTATAAAAACCTACTGCCCATGTGCTCAACCTCTCTTTCTTCTCCTCTGCTCTTTCTTGCAAGGACCATCTTTCTGCTTCTTCAATAAACTGTAACCTTCTTCCCAAAGCAGTCGCCATGTTGAAAATTATATCCACAGCATTCCTCTAGTCCACTAATTTTGTAACTGGGTCAAAGAATGCAGTAAGATGTGTTTAGCATGATCTATTTTTGACGAACCTATGTTTTGTTTGCCTCTAAGTGTTCGCAGATTCTTGTTTGATTATCTTTTCCAGAATCTTCCCAGGAATTGAGGTCAGGCTGATAGGTCTGTTGTTTCCTAGATCTATTTTTATTTTTATTTTTGAAGAGGGGAACTACATCAGCTCTTTTCCAGTCCTCTGGTAGTTCCCTAGTGCTTCAGGGAACTTTGAAAAATATAGTTCAGTCGTTCTGAGATCACATCTGCCAGTTCCTTGAGAACTTTGGGGTGTAATCCATCTGGTCTTGGTGACTTGAACTCTTCTAGGCTGGATAAGTGCTTGCTCACCATATTCTTGCCTAACTTAACTTGTGCTTCTAATCTATTTTTTTATGGTACTGTTTTTGATAAGTTGGACTGTTTGCTTTTTTAGTATTTTTGACTGTGGTCACAAGCCTTAGTTCATTTTGAGCCTTAGCTTTCTTCACCTCATCTTTGCAGGCTCAGACTATTTGCTAATATTCTGCTGTAATTATGTGCCTCTCTTTCCACTTTTTATACTGGTCCTTATGTGTCAATTTATTAGAGAGTTGTTTATGCAGCCATGTTGGTTTCTCTTGAGAGCTATTATTTTTCTTCTTTGTTGGTAGTGTGCTAGACTGGGGTATTTAAAAAAAAAATTCCCAAGCTTCTTGAGTTGTTTCCCCTTGAAGATTCTCATCCTGGAATCCCTCCCAAGCCCTCTCAAGTTTATTGAAATTAGCTCTCTTAAAGTCCAAGACTCTAGTTTGACTTTCTATTGTCATGTGTTTCCTATGTACCTTAGTTAGCTGACTAGCAAAAAGTTCTATTTCCCTTGTATGATTGGGTGGCCTATAGTATACACCTATGACAATGTCATTTTTTCCCCTTTTATACTGATCCAAATGCATGCAAGACAGTTTCCATCATTGTTGTGCCCTAATTCTGTAGATATGTAGTTATTTCCTATATAGAGAGAAGCTCTGCCTCCTCTTTTATTTGGTCTGTTTCTTTTAAACAATTGAAATCCCTCTAGCTGAGTGTTCTATTTGTGGGTTTTATCCCACCATGTTTCTATAATGACAACTATATCATATTTGCCCTCATTCTTTATGACTAACACCTATGCGTTAGTCCACTTTGTGTGACACTCACTATTAAAAGCTTGATTTTGCTTGGTAGCAAGGTTGATATTCTTGTCCACACACATCTATGTTACTTGCACTGCTAACCCTGTAATTTTTGATTGCCAGGGACAGGGATATTCTGTATCAATTAACTCACTGTCCCTTGTTTAAATATTCCTCCAGTCCTCCTTGTATTTGCCAAGATATTTCCTCTTTGGAGTGAGGAGGGGATGTTCTGCCTGCTGGATCCTGCCCCAAGCTCTGGAAAATCATTCTGCAATATGTTGTAAGTGAATTTGTGTTCTAAATGGGTTTTATCTATCTATCCTTTTCCTGAAAAATGTGTGTCTATCTACAAGAACTTTTTGAAGTTCAAGTCTGCTTGTTTGGGGAAATAATTTTCTTAAGTTACTTTTCTTATTCTATCACTAATTGGTGAAGCTACTATGAAACTTTTCTGAAACAAATAAGCATTTTCCAATCTCTAAAATAATGTGATCTATTTTAGAATAAATGTTAAAGGCAGATTTTGTTTGCCTGTTTCTTTGACCACTGCAATATTGATGCCTTTTCAAACTGCCTGCAAGCTATGCCCCCTTCCAATTCTTTTCTTGCCCTTTGTTCTCCATACCTTTTGTCTGCCTCTCCCGGGAAAGTCCACCCAGAAAGGGGGGGAGACCTTGTTCTTGTATCTTTCAGCCCTGCAATCCTCCCCCAAACCTTTGGAAGCAGAACACACAGATGCTGCCTCCATCCATTTGAGCCGTGGAATTGGGTTTTGAATCCAGCCATCCACTAAAAAGCCACCATGCAATCTGAGTGGAACATCTTCCCAAGTCCTACCATTCCCCAGGTGCCTGTGAGAGCTGCAGAAGGAAAGAGTCCTGGAGCCACTGGTGCCATGTGAAGCCTCAGAAGAGAAAATTAGACTGTGGGGGAGGGTGGAAACTCATTGTAAACTTTTCTTCCTTGCCCCATTTGTATTGTAACAAGCCAGTTGAATGTTTTAATGGAGAGATGGCATTTGGGAATAGTTGGCAGAACAAGTACTGAACACCTCGGACTTCGATCTTGTGGGAGGGAAAATTTATCCAGAATGTTTGTATTGCCTGTTTTGTAGAAATAGCTGCATATGCACACACACACCATTCAGAATCATATTGAGTCTATCCCCTCCACCTACTTTTAGTAAAGTTCCCCAGGCTTATTTTTGCTCTATAGTCTGGCATACTGGCTAATCTCAATTGGACATTACAAACCTGGATTCACTGAACTAAGAGCTAAGGCAGGAAACAACCCTTGAAAATGGGCAGCCAGTGGTCATGTACTAAGAAAAACCATGGCTGTGAAGAATTTTGGGAGGTATGTAAACCTGACTGGAAGCTAAAAGTGACATCCAACATTTGAAAATGATTGGCACAGAATATTGGACACTATAAATTTCTTTTCCACCTAACAAATTTTTTGCCCTGACTTATTTATCCGCGGCTTGGATGAATCAAGATGAAGACTTACTTCTGACAGACTGGTTCGGCGGGGGGGGGGGAAGCAGGAGCGAGCGAAGGTTCCGTCCCGCCGTAATGTTGAAAAGCAGACAGACCCTTTCCTTCTGCCCATGCCGCCCCTCGTTGGTTTGCTTTACAATGGGAGAAGGTGGGCTGGAGTTATGGCTATAACCATACGGAGATTCTCAGTCATGGGTGTCCCAAAGATGCTTTTTTCAAAATGCAACTGGACGTTGTTTTGTTTTTTCCTTGAAGATGTTTCGCTTCTCTTCCAAGAAGCTTCTTCAGTTATATCTGGTTATATGGTGCTATTTAACGATATGGTGTTGTGAGAAGAATCCAGAGAAAGAAATATTTTGGGAAATATTAAAAAGGCAGAATATATTTATTTAAAGGATTTTAAAGGCAGAAACCAACCCCACCTCCAAGTCTCTCTGCCCCTGACAGAAACCAGGTCTGCAGAAATGCAGATGTGATAATCTTGTCAGAAAGACTGGAGTCAGGAAGCTAGGATTAGAAAGATCTCTAGAATCAACAATCCCTCACACCCAAAAAAACCCCCAACAGTCATCAGCTCCAGCCCCAGGGAAGCAGATTATGACCTTTGGGACATAATAGGATTAACCCAACACCATCAGAATACCAGAAAGGCACACTCAGGCTCAGGTCAAAGTTCATGCCACAGGAACAACTCCAAACAAAAGCCCAAGAAGGTATAAAAGCCCACTCACTACTACATGTGGTCAGCTTTTCCAGAGCCATCTTTCTGTCTGGCTCTCCTCTTCAATAAACTACAACCTTCTTTCTAAAGCAGTCTCCATTTTGACTATTCCCAGCTTGGAATGGATCCTGATGAAGACTTTTTTTCCAACAGTGTTATTTAACCATAACTATATAATTGATGATATGGCTATAACCAGGAGTTCCGATAGAAGCGAATCTGTAGCTCATGGTTGAACTGTGAAATCCTTGGTGCTTTGCCTGCAGAAGTTTCAGGACCCAGCTAGGTAACATCAGTGCCTAACTCAGGTTATGAAATATTTACAAGCGGGACACCCAGTTCCCAGAACACCAAGTACTCACAATGTAACCAGGAGTTGCTGCTTCATAGGAAGCCAACTGTTTAATAGTAACACTGCACAGCTACGTCCATCTGCAGTCATCCATAGATCTGCCTCAAGTTTTTGTTTTTGTTTTTTTTTTAAAAAAAGAAGCAGATTTCTACATCTTGGTGTGCCCTCTAACCAGCCATCTTCCCTCCAGTAATCCCAGACCCACCTGGAGTGCCCCTCCTGGCTCCTTCCCATGGGCCTGCCTGTCAGCAGGGGACAGCATAAACTAATCCCAGCCAAACCTGGTTACTTCTTAGAGGAGGGACCACTAGGAAGGAAAAATAAACAAATGCAATCCAGCTAAAACAGTGGTAAACCCATCTTCAAGAGAGAAGTTTCCTGAAGATGGGCTCCAGCAAGAGTCCAAAAGCTCGGAAGACTAAACCCCTGATCCCGGTGACCAATCTAGATCAGTGGTTCTTAACCTGGGCGATATTGCCCCCCAGGGGGCAATTTCATTTTTTAGGGGGGCAATGGAATGAAAAGGGGTGATGCGGGGGCGAAGGGACGAAAAGGGGGCGATTTGGGGGCGATGGAGCGAGAAGTTTTGGGGACACTTTTGAGACTTTTTCGTATAGTGAATCGCTGTATATCTGTCGTACAAAAACATCAGATCGCTCGCTATTAGTGGGTTGAGTTGTGTTTTTAAATGTTCCTCCAGCTAGCATCAGTACAGAATGACGTACATATGTGAAGACGCATTGCTTATCTTCATGCGCATTGCGCAGCAGCCTCTACCCATACAGTGGCACGCCATTGGCCAGAATATGGGAGATATGGGAAAAAGACTGGAAATAAATTATTTGCATCGATATGTCCTGATGACAATTTAAAAAAAAAACAAAAAAAGTGTTTGCATAAATTGAAGAATTATTTCCTATGTTGTGATTAAGAGGTTATGTTGGGGGTGGGGAGCGATGACAACTTCCTCATTGGCTCAAGGGGACGATTTGTTCAAAAAGGAAGAACCACTGATCTAGATTATCCTAGGACACATATATTCACCTTCATTAGTGGTAAATTCCTTCATTATTTCTGCCTAGACAAATACACGGATATTCTTGTATAGACTGTAACAGCAGAGCTGGGTTCAAGGAAAACCATGCAGTTACCAATATTAGTTCTGAGTTGTTGGAAACAGAGCAGGAAAGACTTGGGAATGATAAATAAATAGAAATAAATGGGGCCAGAATCCCAAATGGTTAAGTTCTGGGTGGCCTGGGTGCATGGTTTATTTTGGCTGGTTGTTTATTATATCTTCTTTTCCTGTCAGGAATGAGGGAGAGGTTTATGGCTTTTCACCTCACATGGAAATATAATTGGTTGGTTTGGTTATTCATTGCTCAGAGTGGGATGGGTGTTGGTAGGAGGATAAGCTTCCTTCTCTGCTCCAGCTTAGAGGACAAAATGTGTTGGGCCATCTCTGGGCTTCCCTCATTCACAACATCTTAAATAAGAAATGGTCTCACCTAAATCCTTTGTTTTTCTACCACATTATTTCTTTTACTTTTTTTAAAAAAAAGATATTTGCATTATTAGTAACCAAGAGGCAATCTCACTGAACTGTTGACCAAAATTGACATATACTCTGAGTCAAACTTTTCTGGGGCATGCATCTTTCCATAAACCAGTTGTGATTCATGCAAAACCTACAGAGATAGAATGAAGCAGTTGTGAAATGGAACAAATCCAGACATGATGATTTTCTCCACCGTCACTTGGTTTACACCAATACACTCCTCCACAGTGTTGCAAGCCCATACCCATACAAGATCATGGACCGCAGAAATTTTCATTTGGGGGCAAACTCTTTTCCTGTCTCTTGCTTCCCCCAATTCCTTTCCGCCAGCACCGGAACACTTTTTACCCGTATAGAGGCCTTGGGGAGATGGGGAGCTCCGTCTGTGTGCAGATGCAATGCTTGAAAGTGATTCGCTGAGTTTCCAAGTACTGCATTTGCTCAAAAATGGCACTCTCCATATCCCCAAGGTATCCGTTCAGATAAAAGGTGTTTGAGTGCCTAGGGACCCTTGGAAACCCAGCAAATTGCTGCATTTCCAAAAGTCCCATAGGCGCTCAAACACCTTTTATCCGAACAGAGAGCTTGGGGAGATGGGGAACTCTGTGAGCAAATGCAGTGCTTAGAAACGCAACGAATCACTGTGTTTTGAATAGCCCCATAGGCACTGAAACACTTTTTATCCAAACAGAGACCTGACAGACACTGGAAGCTCCTTCTGAGTGCCAACGGAGCACTTCTGAAATGGAGTGTTCCTCTCTGTTTCTGAAGTGCCCCATTGGCAGTCACACGGAGCTTCCAAACTCTGTCAGATCTCCGTTCAGATAAAAAGTGTTTCAGCAGCAGCGGCTTGGGTTTCTTTGCTCCATCCGAGTGGAAGAAAGTGGAGGCGCAGAGCAGGATTGCTCTCAATAAGGCCAGCACACCTTAGCAAGCAGCGCACCCAGGTCTTCTGGAGAGAAATCCTGCTCTGCACTTCCGGTTTCTTCCTTCCAGACCGAGTGGAGAAACTCAAGTCCCTGCCGCCGCTTAAGTTGGAAAGATGACAAGGAGAAGAGTGGTCAGGATTTGTGCTACCAGCCAATCAGGCAAGGAATAGGTTGGGCGGGCTGGGTGGCTGGGTGGGGAGGGGAGATTGTGGCCGCTCAGGTGGCTGCTGCCACTGCTGCCAGCAGCTTGAGTTTCTCCACTCCATCTGACTGGAAGAAAGTGGAGGCGCAGAGTAGGATTGCTCTCAATAAGGCCACCGCATGCAAGCGACCAGCGCACCCACATCTTCTTGAGAGCAATCCTGCTGGGTGGCTGGGTGAGGAAGGGAGATCATGGCTACTCAGGTGGTTGCTGCCACCAGCAGCTTGGACACAGGTGCAAGAGGACTTGCCCCGTGATGCCTCCCTGCTCAGTTGAAGGCTTCATTCCTGCCCTGGCGCATATGAGCAAGCAGTGCACCCGGGCCACGGACGGCATTGGTTCCTGCGCCTGGCCCACTCCAATTCCACGCTTTGCCCCATAGGCAAGCAAACAAAGTAAACACCACCACCTCTCAGAATGATCTCTTTTGAACTTGCATGATATTACAGCACCCAGGAGCTTCCATTGTCAAGTGAAA